CTTTTTCAGCTTCCTGCCACCATGTCATAAGCAGCTGTCCTCGCCACCCCCTCTGCCGGGCCACCCTGCCCTGGAGCCCCCTGCCTATGGACTGAAACCTCTACAAACTATGAGCCGAAATAAACTCCTCCTCCTGGAAGCTGTGGGTGTCGGGTACTGTGTCTGGGCAATGAGAAAGTAACTAAGACAACGGCTTGTTGCTGGGGATGGAGCTCAGTGGCACCGCGTCTGCCTCGCAAGCGCAAGGTCCTGAGTTCGATCTCCGGTACCAAGAAAAAAAAAGACAGTGCCTTGTTACTGCATCTACCTGAGGGAATGGATGCCTCGTCCTCCCATGACAGAGGGTGGAGGGGGAAAAAAGGGAAACCACCTAGATGGTTCCCTCCAGGACCTTTATAAGGCATTAATCAGCTGGCAAAAGCAGAGCTGCCCTAACTGCATCACTTCCCCAAACATCTCCCTTGTGACCACCACAACAGAGATTAAGTTCAGTGTGAATTTCAGTGGGGCAGGAGTGCAAACATTCAGACCAAGGCACCTTTACAGTTTATTTTAGTTACACCGAAACTGGACAAAGGTAGAAAACTATAAAAAAGAAAACTATAGCCCAACATTCTCTCGACTCTAGATATAAAACTCCTGAGTAAAACATTGGCAGATAAAATTTAGCAAAAGTAGGGCCAGGGATTTAGTTCAGTGGTTCCAGCACTTGCCTTGCAAGTGCAAGGTCCTGAGTTCGATCTCTGATACAAAAAAAAAATTTTTAGCAAAAGTATTAAACATCATGACCAAATAGGGTCGTGGTCACTTGTATATTACTGGTGGGAATGTAAAATTGCAGAATTTGGAAATTACTTTTTAAAAAACTTAGCTAAACTTAGCTAGGTGTGGTCATACACACCTGTAATACCAGCATTTATTTAGGCTGAAGCAGTAGAATTGCAAATTCAAGCTCATCATGGGCAATTTAATAAGACCTGTCTCAAAATAAAAAAGAAGGGAAAGATCTAGGTTGTAGCTCAGTGTGAAGGCCTGGGACTCACTATTCAGGACTGCAGCAGGGGTGGGGGAGGGATAAACTTGAAGCCAAATGAGACGGTGCACGCCTATAATCTCACCACTGGGAGGCTGAGGCAAGAGGATGGTGCTTTCATGGCCAGCCTGGGCTACATAGCAAGTTCACATCAGGATGCCCTGTCTTTTGCGGTACCAAAACAAACAAAAAACCACTAAACTTGCAATTGACAGTGCACCCAACAACTAAATTCATGGGCATTTATCTCATGGAAATGAAAACTGAATCAAACAAAAATGTGTACCCAGATATTCATAGCAGCTTTATTCTTTTCTGTTGTGAAATTTTTAAAAATTAATTTTATTGGTCCATTTTAGGTATACAATATAATGACATTCATCATTGGAAATCTGCACCTTTACATAATCTCTCTTGGTTCTTATTTTTCTCCCTTCCCCTGCCCTCCCTTCAACCCCTCCATCTCTCCCTATTTACAAAGACTTTGTTTCCATTTTCTATTTTCTCATATTAATTCCATTCCCTTCTTCCCTTTCCCCTACCCCTTCCAGTTCCCCTTCCCCTTTGCCCCTTTTCTTCCTATTTCACATTATCTATTATACCTTTTAGTCCTTATTTACACTTTCAGTTTCTCACACTAGAGAAACTATTTGGTATTTACACATGTGTGTCCTGTTTATTTCACTTAAGAGTATCGCCTCAATGTGCATCCATTTAGCAATAACAAATGCTGGCGGGGTTGTGGGGAAAGAGGAACCCTGCTCCACTGCTTGTGGGAGTGTAGAGTGGTGCAACCAGTGTAGAAATCACTGTGGAGATACCTCAAAGAACTAGGACTGGCAGTCCCATTTGACCCAGCTGTTCCCCTGCTGGGGATCTTCCTAAAAGAATCACACCACAGCGATATATGTGCACCCATGTTCATAGCAGCACAGTTTGTAATAGCTAAAACTTGGAAGCAGCCCAAGTGCCCATCAACTGGAGACTGGATAAAGAAAATGTGTTTTTTTAATAAACTGAAATATTGCTCAGCTTTATTCCTTCTTAACAGCCCCAAACTGAAGACAATCTAGATGTCTTACGGTGAGTGAATGGCCAAACAAGTGTGGCACCGTGTACCACACAATACAGTAAGTCTTCAATTTAGGAATGAGCTCCATCCCAAGAGAATGTTCATGAGTCGAATTTGTTCATTAGTCTGACAAAGTGAGTCTTACACACCTTTAACACAAACATAAAGCATTAAAAAAATAAATGTGAGGCCGGGGATTTAGCTCAGTGGTTTCGCCTCCTGCTGCACAAGCACAAGGCCCTGAGTTCAATCCCTGTTACCAAAAAAAAAAAAAAATCAAATGTGAGGTCTGTTCATTTCTATAAAAGTTCACAACTCAAGTGTTCCAAAGTCAGGGACTTACTGTGTTATTCAACACTAAAAAGGAATTCGTTGTTGGTAAATGCAACAACCTAGATGAATCCCCAGAGAATTATACAGGGAGCAGGGAGCTGGAAAGCTGGATTAGTAGGTGCCACAAATCAAGGAGGGAGTTAAAGCAGGAAAGGAGGGGCGGAGGCTACAAAGTGGCAACATGAAGGATTCTTATGGTAATGAGAATACTCTGCATCCCTGTCAATATGATCCTGTGCTATAGCTTTGTGTGACGTTACCACTGAGGAAAACTGTGATCTACGGTGTTTCTTACAATTGCATGTGAATCTTCATTTGAAAGAAAGAAGAAAAGGAAAGAGGAGATAGATTATTTAAAAAACCCACTTCCTTTAAAAAATAATTCAAGGCATACAAAAGCAAATTTACTTTTCCTAAATGTGTAGGGTGCTGCTGAAGTCTGCCCTGCTCGTGTGTACCCCCAGCTCATCCAGCCTGGGTTCCTCTGGGTCAGCTGGTGGATCTGACGCTGCCCTCTCTCATCCTCGAAGGCTTCCCTGGGCCTGTTCTCAAGGCTACGGCACAGGGGCACAAGAACTTACGCTGTAACAGACAGTGTCTCTGGAGTCTGGGCCGGGGGACTGGCTCTTATATTGTGGTGGCCAAAGCAGGTCATACGGCCAAGACCAGAATCGGGAGACAGGGCAGGCCTCCTGCCCACAGCGGGAGGAACTGCAGAGCCACATGGTGCTGAGCAGAGAGCGGGGTGAGAAGCTGGGGCCACAGCTGAGCCCTACCACAGCAGCCTGGACCACCTCCACGTTTCTTTGTTACCGTTCTCTCCTCCCTGCCTCGTCCATGTGAAGGCTGTTGCCCACGGTTTCAAGGTCTGTTCAACAGGACCAGTGAGTCCTTTGGCCAAAGCGAAGACCCAGGGGAAGGGAACACCCAGCTACAAAACCCCTGTCCCGAACTGAGCTGCCTCTGCCACACCCACTGCCCACTCTCTCCACCTCCCCAGCCCTGCCCCAGTCTTTATTCCATCTGCAAGCCCTACTCTGATTCTCTGCTCACCTCTTCCATCGTCTAGCATCCTCGTTCCTTTCCTACTACTTGGCTTTACTAGAAACCCTGTGCAAAGTCACAGAGACTGATTCCCTTAGCCTCGATTTCCTTGTCTGTAAAATTGCAGCAGTCACCACCTCAGTCTTTTTTAAAATTTTTGAGGTAGGATCTCACTAAGTCACTAAATCTCCTAGGCTGGGCTCAACCTTACATTCTTCCTGCCTCAGCCTCCCAGAGTGCTGGGTTTACAGGTCTCTGCCACCAACTCCCCCTCTAACCTCAGAATCTTAATGGGGAGATGAAATGACAAAACTCACAGAATGATTTTACACTGCCTGGTATACAGCGATCCCTTAAAAATACAGGGATTTGTACATTTTAATGTGGTGTGGGGGATGTTCAGTCTCGCTGCAGACTTAAAGAAGTCCCAGGGTTCCAAGTTGGAACTCTGAAAACATCTCCCCATGGAAACACTGTTCTAGGCTGTGACCCTCTTCTGCGCAACTATTATTAATCCTAGAGATTCTCTGGCTCCAGTGCTTCCCTTGGTCCTACAGGTTATACAGGCAAAACTAACCACCATGAAGAACATCACTACAAAGGGAAAATGTGAGTGCTAAATAAGTCTGTTGTGAGTCAAGTTTTCAAAGAGAACCCACTCTTAAGTTGAAATTGCCTAAAATGGAGTGCTGTAAGTGGAGATCGTTTAGGAGCAGTGTGTTCAACTAGGATGGTGTATGGTAGATACTCTACTGATCTCCCCGATCAAGAACCTTCAGAATGAGGCCAGATGATAGAGACGGTCAAGGCTGGGAGGCAAAACCACGCTGTGAAGAGAACTAGATGTGAAGAGAACTTGGGGGAGTGTGTTCACAAGAAGGACAATCAACACCTTGGATTGAGAGGCTAGGGAGAAATCTTGGAAAGGAGTTCAAAAGAGGCTCCTGAGAACAAAGCCGAAGTGATATGTACTTGGTGAGTGGTCATGGAAACAAAAGTTTTCACCCAGAACTTACAGGAGGAGTCGTCAGCCCCCTGCCATGAATTCTGTATCCAGAAACTCAAGCAACTACCAGTCAAAAGTATCTGAGGGAAAACATTGCATTTGTGGTGAACATGTACAGATGGTTTTTCCTTAACATTTTTCTCTAAATGATACAGTATGACAGCTAGTTACATAGCATTGGCATTTTATCAGGTATTACAAGCAATCTGGAGACAATGTTAGGTATACAGGAGGATGTGTGTCAGCTATGTGCAAATACTGTGCCATTTTATCAAACAGACCTGAACATCCAAATATTTCAGCATCCAAGGGTCCTAGAACAATGCCCTGCAGATACTGAGGGACAGCTGTACATCTAGCACGCAAATAGTGCAAGAATAAGTAGACCCACAAATTGAGAATGAAATTGAGCAGTCAGAAGAAAGTTGACAAAGACTTTGGCACCAAGGCTAGGTGCCTAGAAAAGATAGATTTTGGACTTTTCTGCAAAAGTGCTTCATAAGAATTAACTCTTGCCAGGGATTTAGCTCAGTGGCGCCGAGCCTGCCTCACAAGCACAAGGTCCTAAGTTCGATTCGCGGTACCAAAAAAAGAAAGAATTAACTCTTACCCATTCTCTATAAACTGAAGCTAGGCTGACAGGTTTACTAGTACTGGGTTGAATCCAGGGCCTCATGCATGGTAAGCAAGCACTATACTCCTGAGCTACATCTCCAGTCCTCATTTTATTTTCTGTTTTAAGATAGGGTCGGGCTGGGGATTTAGCTCAGTGGTTCTGTTGCCTGCTCAGTGGTTCTGTTGCCTGCTCAGTGGTTCTGTCGCCTGCTGCGTAAGCGCAAGGACCCAAGTTTGATCCCCGGTACCAAAAAAAATCAAAAATAAAAACAAAAATAATTCATCACCCCACATACTCATTTCTGTGTGATGAAAATATTTAAAATCTATTCTGTGAACAATTTTGAAATATGCAATGATTATTTATTATAGTCACTATTCTGTACAGTAGATCACTAAAGCTTACCACTGCCTGTCAAGCTGAAACTTCATACACTTTGACCACTATCTTCCTTTTCCTCCAACCACCCTCTTCCTCCAGCCTCTGGTAACTACCATTCTACCCTCTACTTCTATAACATCAACTTTTTTTAGATTCCACATATGAAGAGTTTGTACAATATTTCTCTTCCTGTGCCTGGCTAGTTTCACTTAAAATAATAATTCCCAGATTCTTCCACATTGTCACAAATGACAGGACTTCTCCTTTTCTAAGTCTAGATCTTAAAGCTCCACCATGTGTGTATAAAAATTTCTTCATCCATTCTCCAATTGATGGACACTTAGCTTGATTCCATTTATCTTGGCTATTCTGAATGGCACTGCAATAGACCTGGGAGTGCAGGTATCTTTTATACATAGTGACTTCAATTCCTTTAGATATATAACTAGATATGGAATTGCTGAATCGAGACCTTGATTTCTTCTGTTTGACCTTAATTGTATCTAAAATGAAGGCCCTGGACTAGACGATCTCTAGAGTCTAGTGATAGAGACCAAAAAGAGTTTCAGTCTGAGTGTTCCAACTTGGGTAAGAACCCAAAAGTGTGAAGCAAGTCTGCCCACATGAAAGGAGTGGGTGTGAATTTTGGGCAGGGATAGTGGAGGAAAAGGTATTTTACTAGCCTTACTGATGCAGTACCTATCACTGTCTGGTCATGCTCCTTTGGGACACAATTCCCTTTTTTTTTTTTTTTGTACCGGGGATTGAACTCGGGTCCTTGCACTTACGGGCAGGTGGCAGAACCACTGAGCTAAATCCCCAACCTGAAAATTTCCTTCTTAGAATGGTGACAATGGTACCTATTATGGTTGGGATCCAAGATGGCCCCCAAAAGGCTCATTGTGTTAAAGGCTTGGTTGTTGATGGACTTTTGTGACATGATTGGAGCATAAGGACTCTAGCTCATCCATGGATTGATCCACTGAGGAGATCATAATTTGATGGCATTATTGGGAAGTGATAGAAACACGAATGGTTCATGGGAGTGTAACCTTGAGAACTATACCTGGTCCCAGCCCCTTTCCTTCTGGCTCTTTCCCTTTTTCTCTGCTTCCTGGCAACCTTGAGGTGAGCAGCTTTCCTTTGCCACACCCTTCTGCCATGCTGTTTCTCCCTCACCACAGGCTAAAAGCAAGGGAGTCAGCTGACCATGGACTGAAACCTCTGAAACCATGAGGAGAAATCTCTTCTCCTTTAAGTTGTTTACGCCAGGTGTTTTGCCACATGAACACTCACATCAGCACCAGGACCACCAGCAATGACAACACATTTCTATGGCATGTCTATGAGCCAGACACCTTTGGCAGCACTTTGCAGATTAACATTTCCCACTGACTCCTCATGTAGGCCTATGAGATAGGTACAAGTTTTATTATTACCATTTTACAAAATACAACCCAAGAAATCATAAGTAAGGCTAAAATGAAAACAGACAGTTTCTGTTTGGGTATGGAATAGACTTGCAAATCAGAACACACAGGTTCAGCTGGAAATCAAACAAGTGTTCCATCCAGGCACTTTTAAAGGGAAAAGGAGAACAATAGAGTGAATGAAGTAACTTTTTTTGAACAATTTTCTGTTAGTCCTGTTACACAAGTTGTTTTGATCAAGTTAGATTGATGGGGGGCAGGGGTCCTGTTCATATGGAAGTTATGTGATTAGGCACTGGGAGGAGGTGACAGTAGAAGCAGTCTTTGGAGACCACTGGGCAATCAGAAGTCCCAGGAATAGAAAGTGCTGCAATCTGGAAGTCTTGCAAGCACTTTCTTCTCAGGCAGCATTTTTTTCCTGGAAGTTAAAGATTGAGGAAATTAAGTCAGTGGAAGTAAACAGCAGCCCATCCAATTCAACCTTTGAAGTGGACAGAGAAGTTCTGCTCTCTCTATTGACCAAACTTGACCACCTTTAATTTTCACTTCCATGCAGAGGAAACAGGAATGCAGGTTAAATACCTCACTCATGTTATAAACCTAGTCTCATGCAGAGCTGAGACTTGAATGCAGGGAGCCTGACTACCTGCTTTACTTCCTCAATAAAAAGAAGGCACAAGAGTAGGGCTGGAGATGTAGCTCAGTGGTAGTGCTGACCTAACATGCATGAGGCCCTGGGTTCAATCCCCAGCACTTGAAAACCACAAAGACAGGGCCCAGCATGGCTCCACAGGCATGGTCTGCCCGACCAGGGAAAGGGCACGATGGCCCTATACTTCCTTTTGCATTCTCTAACTCAGCCTAAGACAACACTGGCTCTCTTGGGAGCCACATCACACTGAGGATTCCAAGGGAGCTGATAATCACCTAGAAGCCTCTAAAATATTTTTGACATAAGCCACTCTTAAACCAGGTTGCTCCCATTCTGTTCACAGGCAGCTCATCAGTTAATCCTAAATGTTGAGTTTTATTCTGAATCCTATAAAAGTTTAGCTTTTAGCTCAGCTACAATTTTTTTTTTTTTTTGTACTGGAGATCAAACTGAGGTCCTTGCCACTTGCACAGCAGGCGGCGAAACCACTGAGCTAAATCCCCAGCCCAGCTACAATTATTTTGAAACCTGATAAATTATCTAATGTTACTGCTCCCAGTGTAGCAGTAACATAATCTCAGCTGGCAGTTTTTGGAGCATTAGCTTTGTACCTGGCACCTGCTAAGTGTTTCTCGTGTAACACCTTTATAGTCCCTTAGTCTTTACACAAAGTCAGATATTGCAGTTCAGACTAGAGAGGTAGCTCAGTGGTATGGCACTTGGCTAACATGTTCAAGACCTGGGTACAATCCACAGCATTACAAAAAAAGGAAAAGAAAATATTTTTCTGTTCTCACTTAACAGAATAGGAAATCAAGAAACTTGCTCAAGATCCACTTAGGAAATGACAGATTCAAGGTTCATATCCAGCATTACTAACTCCAGGGCCTAGACTTTCATCCATATTCTCCCCCACCTCTTTGTATCATCTATAAACTTGTCATTATCTAAGTTGACCATAAAAACTGTCAAACAGAACCAAGGACAGATCTCAGGAGTAAATTACATCTCTTCCAGTGTACCAATCACTCAGTTATAAAGAATAGGTCTTTTTACACAATTTGGGGGTCCAGGGAAGCTGAACAATTTGCTCACATTCATACACTGAAGAAGGAGATGGAAAACTAAACAGTTCAGGAAGGTCTCACTCCTCAGCCCATCTTTGCACAACTAGAGCATAAATGAGAAGCCGCCCAAAAAGTTCTACAGTATCCTCTACCCTGCAATTTTCCAACCTGTTCACATGCAGCTGCTCATAGCTTTGTCAAAAGCCCTGCAAGGAGTGTGCGTTTCATCAACACCCGCCCTAATCTGTGGGAGATGGTATTCACCTGTCCTAATCAGCTCTCCAGCAACACATGTATTGGTCAGCTTTCCTGTTGCTGGGGGAAAATATTAGGGGGACAGGTTTATTTGCTTATGGTTTCAGGGGTTTCAGTCCATAGTCCGCTGGCTCCAAAGCAAAACCATGATGGTGGAAGGGCCTGGAAGAGGAAAGCTGCTCACTTCATAGTGGCCAAGAAGCAGTGAACAGGAGAGAAACGCCAGCGAGTGACACATCCTCCACAGGCACACCCTCACTGATCCACCTCATCCAACAGAACCTGACCTCCTAACAGATTAACCCACCGATGAGCACAGGGCCCTCATAATTCAAACACCTCCCCAGGATCTCTCTCTCTCTCTCTTTTTTTTTTTTTTGGTACCAGGGATTGAACTTGAGACCTTGCGCTTTCGAGGCAGGGAGCAGAACCACTGAGCTAAATCCCAGGCTCCACAGGATCTCTTAACCCAGGCAAACATTATAGTTGAGTTCAGGCACAATATGAAAATGAAAGTCCTAACAGTTCATAAAACATCCACTTAATAACCCAGTACCAGGTTTTGTAG